AACTTGGTGCAAGGACAAAAGGCCTACTCCCAGGAGCAACTGCAAACTCTATTGGCTCAACAGGCTTTGGGTGGCGAGACCAAGCTTAGCTTGAGTGATGTGGCTCCCAGTAAGAGCAAAGATCTTGAACTGCCCGGTGGCGGAAAGGTACAGATTCTGCGATCCCCCGATCCTCAGGAGTCGGACACCCTCCCATCCGGTTCTCTGCCCGGTGGCGTTGACCTCTCTAGTTTGGCCGCCCTCTACGGTGGTGGGGCTGGTGATATTCAGGGTATCAGCAATGGAGCCAATAGCATTGCCAGTTCCGCGGTCATAACTTCAGACTCCGATGAACCACCATCCTTGGAGGAGCTGGCCAAGCGTGGACTTATCCCCGATGGCTATGAGATTGAGGGTCTGAGCCCAAAGTCCCAGGCACCGGCCACCGCTGCACCACCAACTTTGCCGCCCAAGAAAAAGGCCACCTACGTTTACCTGGAGGAGCAGACCGACGGCAGCTTCAAAATCCAAGGCGTTAAGGCCAACGGCGAGAAGGAGACCAAGCAAACCGGATCCGAAGTGGAAAGCATTCTGGAGCGCATTAGGAGCGGAGAGATTAAGCTGCCGCCCTCCGTTTCCCGCCTGACCTTGCCCAACGATGAGCTGGTAGAGATTAAGAGCGGCAAGATTATCCAAACCACGCGTGCACCCACCACAACCACAAGCACAACTACCACCACCACAACCACTCCAACACCCTTCATTTCCCGTGGAACACCCAGCAATCACAGGCAGTATCACCCGTCGAGGACCTCAACCACCACCACCACCACCACAACCACTACTCCCACAACGGCCCGCCACAATTTGATTTACGAGAGCAGCACCAGCCATGTGAATGCGGCTAGTCTCATTCGCACCACCACAGCTCCCACTTACGGTGGTTCCACGGTGACAGTTTCCCCATATCTGGAAGGTGTATCCACCCACTTGCCGGTGGTGACCGAACGGCTGTCCGATGTGGCGAATAATGCAGAGCTCCTGCCACCTGTTCCCCAATATGCCGATGCCCTCGTCCAGGAGACGGAGAACACCGAGAAGGCCGCACAAGCGAATCCCTCAACCACTTCTGTGCTGTCCAATCCCAGCGAAGATCTACTGCAAATACTGAAGACTAACGGACTTTTCGCCATGGCCAAGTATCTGAGGCAGTCGGGTCTGGACAGCATCCTAAACGAAACCGGACCGTATACCATCTTTGTTCCCACTGATAAGGCCTTTAAGAATCTTTTGGTGCAGTTGGGAGGACCAGAAAGAGCCGAGGAAAAGTTCCAGTCGAATCCCAGATTGCTGAGCGGGGTATGTTGACTCTAAGCCGTTACATAGATTCACCCCTTTCAACCAACAAAATATTTTTCATTATAATTAATGTTATTACACGTTTCTCCTGCATAGCTCCTGCTCCATCATGTGATTCCAGGAGCTTTCGAAATCGCCACCCTGCAAGACGAGATGACTGGCGTTTCCCTGGCTGGAACACAGCTGCGAGTTAACCAGTACAACATGCACGACCAGGAATGGAACGATGTTACTGTAAGACAGCCGGCGATATTTTAATGAAATCTAAAAACTTAACCTATATATTTATTATTTACTCGTTACTCGTAGAGTAAATTCTGCATTTTTGTAGAATTCTGCATTTCTCTAAAATTCTGCATAATTTTTTTTGTAATTTTGTTGATGATAATATCAGGACAATATCATGATTGTAGAAATTAAAAAAAACTAAGAAATGTCCTAAGGCCGAAGTTCTAAACTCCATAACTCAACTTATCTTAATCGGATTTTGAAGTGGCATACCTCTAAATGTTTCTGGCGCAATTCTCTAAAAATCTGCATTCAAATTTAAAAATTTATTTTTTTTTATATTTTTTGTCATTTTTTTGATGTCATGATGTAGAAAATCCAAGAAATTAAAAAATGTCCTATGGCTGAAGTTCTAAACTCCATAACTCAACTTATCTTAATCGGATTTTGAAGTGGCATACCTCTAAATGTTTCTGGCGCAATTCTCTAAAAATCTGCATTCAAATTTATAAATTTATTTTTTTTTATATTTTTTGTCATTTTTTTGATGTCATGATGTAGAAAATCAAAAAAATTAAGAAATGTCCTAAGGCTGAAGTTCTAAACTCCATAACTCAACTTATCTTAATCGGATTTTGAAGTGGCATACCTCTAAATGTTTCTGGCTCAATTCTCTAAAAATCTGCATTCAAATTTATAAATTTATTTTTTTACAATTTTTTTGTAATTTTTCTGATGTTACGAGAAATTCAAAAATGTCCAAAGACTGAAGTTCTAAAGTTCATAACTCAGCTTATCTTAATCGGATTTTAAAGTGGCATACCTCTAAATGTTTTTGGCGCAATTCTCTAAAAATCTGCATTCAAATTTAGAAATTTATTTTTTTTTAATTTTTTTTGTAATATTTCTGTTGTAGAAATTCAAAAATGTCCAAAGATTGAAGTTCTAAAGTTCATAACTCGGCTTATCTTAATCGGATTTTTGAAGTGGCATACCTCTTAATGTTTCTGGCGCAATTCTCTAAAAATCTGCATTCAAATATAGAAATTTATTTTTTTATAATTTTTTTTGTAATTTTCTTGATGTCATGATGTAGAAATTCAAAAAAATTAAGAAATGTCCTAAGGCTGAAGTTCTAAACTCCATAACTCAACTTATCTTAATCGGATTTTGAAGTGGCATACCTCTAAATGTTTCTGGCGCAATTCTCTAAAAATCTGCATTCAAATTTAAAAATTTATTTTTTTTTATATTTTTTGTCATTTTTTTGATGTCATGATGTAGAAAATCAAAGAAATTAAAAAATGTCCTAAGGCTGAAGTTCTAAACTCCATAACCCAACTTATCTTAATCGGATTTTGAAGTGGCATACCTCTAAATGTTTCTGCCGCAATTCTCTAAAAATCTGCATTCAAAGTTATAAATTTATTTTTTTTTATTTTTTTTTTAATTTTTCTGATGTTACGATATTGTAGAAATTCAAAAAAAACTAAGAAATGTCCTAAGGCCGAAGTTCTAAACTCCATAACTCAGCTTATCTTAATCGGATTTTGAAGTGGCATACCTCTAAATGTTTCTGGCGCAATTCTCTAAAAATCTGCATTCAAATTTAGAAATTTTTTTGTTAAATTTTTTTGTAATTTTTTTGTTGTTACGATGTTGTAGAAATTCAAAAATGTCCAAGGACTGAAGTTCTAAAGTTCATAACTCAGCTTATCTTAATCGGATTTTAAAGTGGCATACCTCTAAATGTTTTTGGCGCAATTCTCTAAAAATCTGCATTCAAATTTAGAAATTTATTTTTTTTTAATTTTTTTTGTAATATTTCTGTTGTAGAAATTCAAAAATGTCCAAAGATTGAAGTTCTAAAGTTCATAACTCGGCTTATCTTAATCGGATTTTTGAAGTGGCATACCTCTTAATGTTTCTGGCGCAATTCTCTAAAAATCTGCATTCAAATATAGAAATTTATTTTTTTATAATTTTTTTTGTAATTTTCTTGATGTCATGATGTAGAAATTCAAAAAAATTAAGAAATGTCCTAAGGCTTAAGTAGAAATATCTCGATTACACTTTCACCAGAGTAACGGGTATCTGATAGTCGGGGAACTCAACTATAGCATTTTATCTTGTTTTTTATTTATTTTTTAAGCTGACCACCATTAACGGAGCCATGGTTGTGCTGAACAAAAAGGATATCAAGATACCGCAAGGAGTGGCTCACGCAGTCGATCGCGTAATGTTCCCACTGCCCGTTGGAGATATTCTGCAGACTCTGCAGTCTGATCGTGAGGGTCGCTTCAGCAATTTCCTCAAGATTCTGTACACTTCTGGACTGTCTGAAAAGCTTCAGAGCAAGGGTTAGTACAAATTTAACACATAACTAAAATAATTTCTAACGAATGTGCATTAGGTGTCAAGACGTACACTGTTTTCGCTCCTGTGGACAAAAGCTTCAGCGAATTGGATTCCGATACACTGGAAAAGCTTTACAATGACAAAGATGCTGCCGAACAGTTTGCCATGAAGCACATTGTTCCCGGGGCTCTTTTCTCTGCTGGTATGCGTTTCTACCAAGTTAAGGACTCATTGTCTACTGGCAAAACCGTTATCCTCCAGAAGACATCTGCGGGCAAGATTAAGGTTAACGATGCACAGATGGTCACATCCAACATTCCAGCTACGAATGGAGTGATTCACGCCCTGGATGGAGTCTTGGCGTGAAGAGATTAAAGCTGCCGGGTCGGATAATCCCTTCATTAAGCAGTTTTTTGTTTGAGCCTTAAGATTAGTTTAAGCGAGGAGGAGTTTCATCAACCACATCCAAAATTGATAGTGAAATCTTGCCAACGTCCTTGACAGGACTTAAGAAATTATAATCTTATATAGAACTGGTGCAAATCCATGAAGTATAAGAGATATACGCAACGATTTGGTGCTTCCAAAAACTATTCTGTATTTTTCTTTTTCGCCTTCATAAAACAGTCATTACAAATAGTTCAATTTAAGAAAGAAGCAGAAAATATGTAAAAAGAAGCCAACACAGGTGAAATCTGATTGGTATCTAAGCTAAGTTCACATATATTTATTTTTGGCATTAAATCATGTGCAAATTAATTTGCAAAATTCTGTAAAATAAATAAAAAATATAGTTAAGAAATATATAATGATTCTTTTATTTATTTGAAAAGTATTGAAAGGCGGACAAAGCATATATTTTTGTTGGTTTTACAAAATGATAACAATACCTTGAATAAAAAAAGGAAATTTCAAAACTCGGCAACGAAAATGGACGACGCTATCTAATTTATTTTTCTGACTGCACTTACTATTCGCATTTGACGAGGGTAAACCTGCTGTCATTAGGTTATCGAAAAACACAACAAAGACGATTGAAACGTAGGTTGTATATAAATAGTTGTCACTATTTGCAAGAATTTAGATAATACATAAAACTCAAGATGGTAACATCGCGTCTGCTGGGTCTAAAAACTTATTTATGTGATTTAATTTTGTAGATTCTTGTTGTTTTTATTTTGACTGCACTTGAAATAACTTTTTCAACTACGCAAACAACTACCTCAACTGAACCAAGTCAGTGTATAATTTTTCCAAACTTACCTATATGTTTGCTAACTACGACGACAATAACATCCATATCTGATTCAACAACTACGAAGGACATCACGACTACTGCAGCATCTCCTACAACACCTGAAGACTTGATAACAACCACACTTGCTCCTGCAACCACTGAAAAAGTACCCACCACGACAGAAGAACTAAGTACAAGTGAATCAATTCTGTGTAAAAATGTTCCGAATTTACCAATATGTTTGCAAAGTACGACGACAATAACTTCCATATCTGATTCCACAACAACTGAAGACTTGAAAACAACCACTGAAAATATACCCATAACCACAAATGCGCCCACAACGTCAGAAGAACTAAGTACAACTGAATCAATTCTGTGTACAAATTTTCCGAATTTACCAATATGTTTGCAAAGTACGACGACAATAACTTCCATATCTGATTCCACAACTACAAAGGACAACAACGCAACTACAGCATCTCCTGCAACAACTGAAGACTTGAAAACAACAACACTTGCTCCTACAACGTCAGAAGAACTAAGTACAACTGAATCAATTCTGTGTACAAATTTTCCGAATTTACCAATATGTTTGCAAAGTACGACGACAATAACTTCCATATCTGATTCCACAACTACGAAGGACAACAACGCAACTACAGCATCTCCTGCAACAACTGAAGACTTGAAAACAACAACACTTGCTCCTACAACGTCAGAAGAACTAAGTACAACTGAATCAATTCTGTGTACAAATTTTCCGAATTTGCCAATATGTTTGAAAAGTACAACGACAATAACTTCCATATCTGATTCCACAACTACGAAGGACAACAACGCAACTACAGCATCTCCTGCAACAACTGAAGACTTGAAAACAACAACACTTGCTCCTACAACGTCAGAAGAACTAAGTACAACTGAATCAATTCTGTGTACAAATTTTCCGAATTTACCAATATGTTTGCAAAGTACGACGACAATAACTTCCATATCTGATTCCACAACTACGAAGGACAACAACGCAACTACAGCATCTCCTGCAACAACTGAAGACTTGAAAACAACCACACTTGCTCCTACAACCACTGAAAATATACCGGAAGTCTCTTCTACAACGACTGAAGAACCATCGACCACTTTAGCTTCAACAACCACTGAAGAAGTAACAACAACTACGACCGCGGCAGTAACAACAACCACTACTGCTCCCACTATCACTGAAGAATTGACAACAACAACAATTGCTCCTACAACCACTTCTTCAGCTCCAACGACTACTGAGGAAAACTCTACAACTTCTGAAGAAATAACAACTACAACTTCGGCAAAAACCACAGAATCAACAACGACAGCTCCCTCCAGCTCTCAGGCTCAACACCACCACCATTACCACCACGAAGTGATTGGACCTCCACATCGACCTCCACCTTTTCCAATCCTTGGATCCTTGCCTGTGGCAGATTCTGCTGCAATTGCGATACTACCTATTCGGCGTCCACCTCCAATCCCTGCATTTCCTAGACCACCACCAAGACCACCACCAAGACCACTACCAAGACCACCACCAAGACCACTACCAAGACCACCACCAAGACCACTAAGACCACTACCAAGACCACCACCAAGACCACACCCCTTTGGAAATTTGGTTGGATAATAATGAAATATATATATATATATCTACATATACATATGTTGATTTACAATTAAAACATTGATTTTGCAACAAAACTAACTGATTTGCCTCTCCCATCTATAGGTGATGGCTGAAATTATTGAAGTTTTTGCGCCATCTATGTTTGACCATGAGTACTGAAATGATGTAGAGAGGTGTAGAAATCTGAATCCACATGTAAAACAAAACAGTGGTATACATTAAAAACCAAAAACACATTTTCATCAGAAAGAAGTATTCTTAAATAAAAGTCGAAACATCCAGACTCGTCGTTGCTAATTCCTTTGGAAAGCTAACATAATAAAATACTTAAAAAATTAAGAACATTAAGTTCTCCCAGAAGTAAGCCCCAATGAATATTCAAGCATTTGTAATGTACATATAATTCTCATAAATTCTTTATTAATTCGATTTTTAAAATGTCTTGTTTCATTTGTGTTGCCCTCGTGTTAGTTTAATTAGTTTACTCTTCAATGCAAATGCCACACATTACATTATATTTAAGTATTCCGTATAAATATTTCTCCTGCAAGCCATCAAGTTCGTTTGGAGTATTTATGTTGGTTTAGTCATAATTATTTGTGGTTAAATAATTTTAGCAATTAATTTATATAATTAAATTCTATAATTTGCCTTGCATAGCGGATCTTCATGTCGTTCTGCACACTCATACATACCAATGTTCCATGTGTTTCTATGAGTTTGTGTAAGTGTTTCTTATTTTAACATGCACATTTATATTTGCAAAAAACATGAAATGCTATTTTGTATTTAAATATTTTATTCCGTATCTATTCAATAATCGAAGGTGAGTAAAAAGCAACAAACAGTTAAACTTAAATGTTTCAGAATAAAAACTGTAAAATTATATACACCTAATAAAAGTGAAATAAGATAAAAACTCAGATGATGGTAATCGAGAACAATTAATCGTGGAACAGTATACAAATGTAATTTCTAAACTTTAAATACACATTTACCAACATCTATGCCTTACCTCATTTCCATAAATTTTTTTTACATTTTCTTTAATTAATTTTTAGCTTATGCATTGTAATAATTTCTCAAAGTATCACCCTGTGTTTTCTCATAGTTTTACGATTTTTTTTGTTTTTTTTTTTCTTCTTTTTCCATTTTCTTAAAATTTACAACAATACTTTAACTTATTTATCATATTTAAATTTTTAACAAATCGCGCATCTTAAAATCCGGCCCAGAATCTGCGGCTTCCAAAGGATGAGAGTCCAAAAAAATGCGATAATAAAAGTTGAACAAAATGAATGCGAGTGTTTGTGTATGGCTATTGTAGGTTTACTTTTAGTAGACACTGTAGTACGTTGAATTGCTGCTTGGCTTTATTTTTATTAGAGCCGCGTTGGTATCTGAATTGCATCTAATCTTAGTCATATTTAAGGAATCAGATCAAATGCGAAAATCGAATGGAAGTTTAGGAGAATCTATTGAAACCATCCCTAGAGTGGATACTTTTTATGTCTATGGAAACCGAAGTTGAATTTTGGGAAATTATCGAATCGAGCTCAATACCAAGCAGCTCTACTATTTTACTGTTGTGATATTTGCAATATTTCTTTTGGTTTTTGTTTATCGTTAAGTTCTATTTTAAATATGCTGTACGTAGTTGGAGGAAAAAACACTTAAAATGTTTTGTTTGAACGAACTTCTTTAACTACATATGGTTCTGCCTTGCATCCTGTGAGAAAGTGTTAGTCGTCTCTGTTTTGCGCTATATGGTTTGACTATTTTCGCTTAGTTTGGCTTGTGTGTATTTCTTTCGTTTGCAGTGTGTGTAATTCATTTTAAATTTAATTTAAAATAGGAACAACCCCGCTCGCAACTCGGGCCACGCCTACTGCTGCTGGACGAGCAGCTGCTCCACCTGGTCGGCGGTGCGGAGCAGGAAGGCGGCACTTTCGCGGTAAGCGGATATCACCTGCCGGGCGGCCGTCACCTCGTTGGCGCTCAGTTTGTGCGGCAGGATGGGCGGCGCTCGAACGGATTGGCCGTCCATCCCGCCGCCGCCGGCCACCAGCAGTTGTTGTTGCTGCTGTTGTTGCTGCTGCTGCTGCTGTTGTTGCTGCTGCTGTTGCTGCTGCAGCTGCTGCAACTGCTGGGTGGCGGTCACCAGTGCGTTGTTGTTGCTCGCATTGCTCAGGCTGGCCAGATTGGCGGCGCTTAGCTGCGAGTTGATGTTGCCGGTCACGGAGCTGTTGCTGTTGTTGTTGCTGACCATGTTGCCGCCAAGGCCGCTGGTCGGTTTCATCGAGAGATCGGTGGGCGTAACTGGAAAGCAAGACAGTAGTATGATTAAGCATATCATTTATAACGCAAGCTACATGTTGTAAGGGAAGTATCATATGGTATAACTGCTTGTATATTTGATAATTTATCGCATTGTTTACTCACCATTTCCCAGGCCAGCCACTGCGGGGAAATATCCGGGATAACTGGGGGCTCTGCCGGCGGCCACGGCTGCAGCTGCTGCGACAAAAGGGGAGGCCGTCGATGGGGAACTGAAGTCCGTGGTGTACGGACTGCTGGCAGGGAGACCAGCTCCGTTGGAGGCGCCTGCTCCATTGGCGAGGGTCAAACCGGTGACACTGGCGCCGCCACTAACGCTGGCATTCGAGCTGAGGGCCAAGGGAGAGCTGCGCGCCGAGCTCATACCGCCCCCGCCCCCGCCGGCGGCACCGCCGCCTCCACTTCCACCCGCGTTGCCCGCCCCACCAAAGGGCAGCACATCCGCGTGCTCCGAATTGGGCGTGGAGCGGGCGAAGCCGACGGCGCTGACGAACGGAAGAGCTGCGGCTGCCGCGCTGGTCAGTCCGGTGGCATCCCCCACACCGCCCATGCCGCAGGTGGCGGTGGCATTGCCGGCGGCCGTGGTGCTAGTGCCGCCGGCACTGGAACTTGTGGCAGCCACCACCGCTGCGGCCGCAGCCGCGGCTGCTGCAGCGGCCACCGCACTTCCAGGAGCGGGAACTGCGTGCGTGATGGGCTCCAGGCCGATGCGCATTCGTTTGGCGTTCATGGATTCGTTTTCGCAGGCGATGGCCAGGATTTGCTCCGCCTGCACGGATGTCAGATGAGCGGGAGTGGGTCGGGTCTGGAAGAGTTGGAATCGAGTTGAGTCTTCAGTGTCAAAACAATGACAACTATATCTATAGTTATAACTTACCGTATTCTCCCATCCATCGCGGGTCTTCTTGTTGCGCCGACACGATTTCAGATAGGTGCGGATGCGTTTGCGGGATCGGTCGCTGAACTCCGGGAACTGCCGGGCGCAAGAGTCGATGATGGCCTGGATCTTCTCCTTGGGCTGCTTCGAGATGGGAATGATGCGATCGAGATTCTCATCAACAAACAGCCGCACAAACATCTGAAAGGAAGGAGAGGATGTTACAGTAACCCGATAGGCTGACGTGACCAGATGTCTGGCGAATCTTTGGCAACGCTTGGCTTTACATTCGCCGCTCACTCTCAGCTCACGCTTTACTCACATTGAAGGCTTTGAGCCGCTCGGGATCGTGTGTGGTGGCCAGTTTCTCATCCAGCTTGTCATCGGAGTCATCCTCGGACACCTCGTCCTCCTCCTTCTGCCCGGAGGAGTTAGTCTCGTCCTGCGTCTCCATGGGCGAGTGGGCATCCTGCCGCGGCACCGGCGACAGCGAACTGTCCATCTTGCCACTGGCCGCCGCCGCAGCTGCCGCGTTTTGGGCCAGAGCGTTCTGGTACTGCGCCCACAGACCACCCACCACACTCAGATCGGGGCCCTCGGTTCCATTTCGCACCGCCGTCGAGTTCTGGTAGTTCCAGGCTAGTAGCATCAGCTTCAGCTTGTCCGCGTCCTTCATCAGGCCGGCATAGGCCTCGGATTCGTTGACGAGGCCCCCGCCCAGTCCACTGACCACATCGCCCAGGAGTCCGCCAGTGCCACCTGCTCCGCCTCCTGCGCCAGCTGCCGCCCCTCCTCCACCGAGGCCTCCAACGCCCACACCAACCACGCTGGCTGTGTCGGTGCTCACAACCGGTGTTGCCGGAATGGTTTCCTGAAAGGTAGAAATGAGAATATTGTTTGATTATCTCATCTCCAACTTGAATAACAATTTATTAAACATTTCTATATTGCTTATGTGATTAACTATAATTTCAACACGCTAAAGTCTTGACTTAAAACATTGCCATTAGTGTGCAGCAAGTTTCAATTATTAGTTTAAATTGACAGCAATCGGTTGGCAAATATTCAAATATGTTTTTTGTTAAACAGAAGTAGTTTTCAATTTCAGAGCTTTTTTCAAGAAATCTACGAGCGAACTTTTTCGAGACCGCACGAACTCTCTGGAAGCAGTTCGATATGCCAAATCCCAGTGATTACGAGTAGAACCAGTTGGAAGTTCGTTCGACCGTTTTAAAGAATGCAAAAAGGAACGAAACGTCAAAGAAAGCGTCCCAAAACCCCAGACCGGGATTCTAGGGGAAAGTTTTACGGACTTTCATCTTGAAGGCAGGTCCAGTTCCCCAGGTTCACCCTCTATCTGCTCCTTTTTCCTGGTTGCCCATTCTTGGGGTTGCCTTTTTTCACTGTCCGCCCTCTGTGCACTGGAAATTAGTCGGCTTGGTGGGCCGGGGTGGGGTTTCAATCCTGTCCTGCCCCTTTGCGGCCAACACGGCTCTAATGAAACATTTTGCCCAAGACGTTGAGCGTCCGGCACACAAGCATTTTTCCTCCGCACTCTTTTGGTTTTGTGGTTGAAGGACACTCGTAAGGTGGGGCCGTGGTGTTGGAGTTCTGAGATTGGGGATTGGAACTGGTAATGGCAGCAAAAATGAAGCTGTGTTCCGTGTGGATGGCCATCGAGATTGAGGCTTCCTTCTTTCCCTTTAAACGTGAACGGACTCTAAGTCTTAATTAACATTAATTTGCTCGACCTCTGGGGTATAGGGGTAGTTGGCTGTAGCAAATA